CTCAAATTGTTTGAGCTAATATGGTTATTTGTATGAAACTTACAACAGCTATTAAAACATTCTTTTAACTGTCAATTCCTACTTATCTCCAGAACGACAACAAATTATAAGAGTACTTTAAGTAGAAGATAGCCTATTTAGGTGAGAAAGTTATACATGATTTTTTAGTGAGAAAGTGTTGTAGGTGATTTTTTAGGTTTTTAGTGATTTTTAGGTAGAAAATTCATTTATTACTCAAAAGAATACAATTCACTTACTGAGAAACATTAGTTTTATATGGGTAACATCATAAATGGGCAGCTAATACTTATAATAAAAAATATAAATTTGGGGAAAGTACAAACTATTTTACTGAATCGAACTCTAAATAAGAATACTGGAAGTGGCTTTAAGTATAAGTTGTTATGATTTTAAGTTTTAACTTTAAATTTAGTAATAACTAGCAACCCCTAGGTGGTTCTTTAAATTGATGTTACTTTTTTATTTATGAAGCGATTGAAATAAAAAAAATACTAAATGTTTAGTGAAGCTTACTACAATATATTAGTGAAAACCGCATTCAAATCGGTTAAGCCGTTTCTGAGATTAGAGCATACAAACGCACAGACAAACAGACAAAAATTCTATACATCATTGTTTTGGGCTCTATTGTGTAAAAAAATTCCTCCAATGATAGTTTTTCTCAAGTATCTTTTATGTACAGAGAGCAATCAGTTACACTTTAATTATATGTATAGAAGATTTAATATGAAATATAGTATAACTGGGTTATTGACATTTTATGTAATTAAGTTCATTCAGAGTATTTAAATGGTAATTATGTTTGCTTTAATTCAAAAATATAGAACATTCAAACATTGACCTTATTGAGACAATTTATTCTACAGTTTGAGTTCTTAGTTATTTTGGCTTTTTCACCTGATTTGTAACTATTATCTAACATGATTTGTACTAATATTGTGTCAAAGAGTATTTATTAATCTGTCATTCTTTCAATTAACAATGTAAAGATCTACTGATTGATTTTATTAACGGATAACGGATCTAGGTCAATTTTTAGTCTAGACTAGTTCATTCTTAGTCTATACAATTTTTCATGCCAGTAGGCACATCTAGGAATTATAATAAAATTGTAGTCTATTGTAAAAATAGTTACTAAAGCAGGTGAATCTTGTAAGAATAAAAAATTACATTTATTTGGTTGTGTATTATTAAATATATTTAAGCATAACATAACAACTTCTGAAAGCCATGTAGAAATATATATAATTTATTTAGTATAAGATATTATATTGGGGTTTACAAGGGTTATAAGCCTTTATTAAAGTAAAATATGACAACATCAGATAAAATGAAAATGTTTTGAAACTGTAAAATATGTATACCAATATAAATTGCAGAATAAAAAAACTGCCAATAAAAATTATTACTTATATTATAAGTAGGTAACAGATGTTAAATTAAATTTTTGTGGGTATAATATAATTTTATATGTAAGGTCATAAAGTAAAATAGAATTCAACATATCCTTCTATCAGACATAGTATGAAAAATACCTTCAATTTTTTTTAGACAAGTATATAATAAAGAGACACGTTTTTTCATTTGTTCTATTTTTGTAGGAAGGCTTTGTACTTGACCTATGGTCCAAAGATGCCAGTTGTTAAGAAACACACAAATTTTTGTTATAGGTTTGGAATAGCAACCTATTACAAAATCTTATTAGACCTTTATTCAATACGTACATTTTTCAAGATGGTTTAGAAGAAAGAAATGTACCATGCTTAAGTTGTTTTGCCTAGCTCAAGGTTGATAAGATGTTTCAATTAGTAACAACTACTGTCACTGTATAAAATTTTGAATGCGCAATAACTTCTTACCTGATTTTTATCTCTCAGATCACGCACTCGGCACTGATATCCAATTATCAAAGTTTAAAAAAGTACGAAATAATCACTGGAAAACACTACATGTAATTTTCTTATCACCAAAAAAATTAACACCAGCGGACGGAACAACAAGAGAAAACATACCTACCACAAAATAATGTGAAAAAGAAAATCACAAAACAGTATGAGTAAAAGAGATAAAATATGTTTGACATGTAAGGTATAGACAAAATCAGCTGTTGACATGGACTAGATAGAAATTAGCACAGATATAGGTATTGTATAGCTTTATACTTTATTACAATAAAGGCCCCTACTCAAAGCACTGCCTGCAGGTCCCTGTTTGCAGTGCTACTGCCAATCGTATTGTGTGTATGCATGCAGGGCCGATATTTTAATTGTTCTCCCTGCCGCAGGGCCGCAGTGTCATTCTGCCATCCCGACGTACGATCTCCCCACTCCAAATATTGCAAGCAGCGCAATGTGTAGCACGGTCGGGCCGATTTAAGTCGCCATTTTGTATAATCTATGCTTGCGACGATTGTCAATGTCAATTTGACATTTTTGGTTTTGTCGAGAAGCGGTTGTTTCAAATTTTGTTTACACTAAAATAGTTTAAATAACATTGGTTTTGTCTCCAAAGCTTTATTTTCATCAGAAAAAGGGGTCCACGCGAAAAAGACGTGTGGAGAGACATATTTGAACTGTATCTACATTACATATTAATAATTTTACATAGTAACTGTGGTGAAATTATTGCTCTAAATTTCAAGTCTTCATAGCTGGCCCCAGTAGCAAGAAATCTTAAAGTAACAATTAATCTTTCTCTTGCGCTTACAGTATCTCTCATCAATATATATTCTTTTTCAATGAATGGTGTCACCATTGTCAATAAATGTTCAAATTGTGATTCATCCATTCTAAGAAAGTTTTTAAAATCGTCAGGTTGTAATTCTCTCAGTACATTGGCGTGACTCAAAGTCTTTCGTAGTAGTAACCATTTTTTACACCAAGAATTTCTTTTTTTCTTTTTAACGCCACCACTAGTACTCAGTACAGTCAAAGCCAATGCTATTTTTTGGTGTTTCGATAATATAGGAGCCATCTTTTTTTTTACTGATGAGTCTAGGAAAGGATTTGAGAACACCACTGAACGTAACAACGGCAGCCGCACTAATGACTTGCAGGGCTTTGTGGAGCAACACCCTCTGCGGCAGTAACTACAAACAGGCACTGCAGGCAGTGCTTTGAGTAGGCCCCTTAAACATGTTCGTGAAATTTTTAATGATTCAAAGATTTTTGATTAGTTTGCCTTGCTTTGCCCACTTCTAGTATTATATGATATGTGTCCACTTAATATTTGCCATCCCTAAGTTTCTTTTTTTTTATTATTTACAATATTGTTTTGCTATATTATTGCATCAAAGTTGACATACTTTTTGAATTTCAGCTGTAGCACCACTAAAAATACATAATATATCACAAGTGTATGTATTTATAGTACTCATTTTTGTAAAAACGCCTCCCTTAGTCTAAATTATGCCTTTGTTACCATTTGATGAATAGCTGAAATTCTTAGCCCATGGAGTAGAAGTGCTAAACACATTTTAAAATACATTAAAAGACAAGTATTATACCTCGTCATATCGCGTTTACTGGTAACAAGAGAGCTAGCTCTGGTTTTCGTCCAACAAATCGGCATTGTAATTAATTACTACCATATTATATATTATGTATAAAATGTCTACGATACGCAATTTCCGGATAGACGAGCATGACAAAGTTGTAAAGATAAAAACGGACTTCTTTATAGTGTCTCTTAAAGCTTCTTGGCTACGAAACTTTAAAAAAGCTTTCAAGTTTCAACCAACACTAATGTTGACTTACTCATAATTAACTAGTGAGTTACCATAGCTTTTCTCGGGTGCGTCTCTAGGTGCCTAATAATAATAATAATTTTTCTATACATAAAATAATACGTTAAAGGTCGAATGTCTGTAGATACATAAAAATTGCTAAAAACAAGTCAGGGGGTATAAAAGAGAAATAGAACAAATCCAGATTTTTTCATTTTTTTTTGTTTCCCTGTCTGTTTGTACGGGCTCGGGGCTAATCTCCGAAACTGTTGGACCGATTTAAATGAAATTTTGCATGGTGGTATCTTATATCCCCGGTCAACATATTAGATACTTTTTATCCCGGAAAACAAAAGAGTTCCCGTGTGAATGTTAAAAACTATATAAACACAGCTTAGTACACAAAAACTGATTGGGTATTAATGAAACTCATCATCAGAATAACAAAAAGGCTACTTTTTATCCCGAAAAACTGTACGGTTCCCGTAGGATAGGTTTGTTTTTGTATGTCTAGAGGCGAACCCAAGTCAAGAGAGTGTGAGCCGCTAGTAACTGATAAAATAACCCAAGCCGCAAGCGCCATATTTTTTCGACTTTAATTAAAGGTAAATGATTACTATCATAAGCACTATTTTTATCGTAATAAAAATAGTCAATAGCACTCAGCGAAAATATAGTTTCGTAGTAATGAAAAAGTTTTCAGATTTTAAAGATTACCCCGTACATACCACATACAAATGACTTCATTATGTTGTTAGTGTATATTTTTTTACATTATACATAAAATTATATAACAGATAATGTATATAAAAACAAGCCTTGTTTTTTTTTGTTTGTGGACACAGTTTCACAAACTATTATTTAACTTTTAATTTTAATTATATTTTATATGCACGCAAATCATTTATGATCTGTGTGTGAACCAAAGACAATGTAAAATGTAGGTAGGTAATGAATTAATTTTGGATGTCAATTGTCAATAATCAATTGTCAAATTTAATTTAACTTGGAAACAATGGTCAAAAACAGTCAAAAATAATAATAGATTTATTTAGCGATAGCGACTTATAATTTGCTTCTCATTATTTCGAATTAAATAATACATTTAAAATATTAATATCAGTGTGCCAGTGTTTATGATGCATAAATAGATTTTTCTAACGTCTATACCTATAACCTTTCGTCATTGTGAAAAATTAGTAGCTAATGTTAGTAGTTTGTGCTTAAAAAAATAATAAACTCCGACAAAATAAGCATGGCAAAGGAAGAAGACGACGACAATTTGCCCGATAAGGATGCAGCTAAGGAGTTCTATGCAAAATATGAGCCAAAAGAAATTATTGGGAGGTATGTCAATATATATAAGATGTTGATATTTTTATACCTAGTGCTTAATGCGAAGTAACTGCTGAATTTGTGTTGTTGCCAAATTTGTTATTCAGGTACCAAAATTATCATAAAGTTTTTTTTTAGGTTCTCAGAACAGGCTATAGTTAATATTTTGTAAGTCTTCAGTGACCTTGGCAAATCTAAATAGACTTACGTGATCAATAGTTAGGCTAATGGTTTAGAAAATCTATACATATGATTTTATAAAATAAGCTATTAGTAGATATTGTTACCATCCCAATTCTTAATATCATAAAATATTGGGCGTTTCATAAACATTTGTTCTGTCTATATAAATAATTCAATTATAAATGTGGTGTTTTAGAGGTATAAGTTCAACTGTTAGAAGATGTGTAGAAAAGGAAACGGGCAAAGAGTATGCAGCAAAAATTATAGATCTCAGCCAAGAGTCTCAAGATGGAGTGGATACTCATATAATGCGGGATGCCACTCGACAGGAAATCAGCATACTGAGGATGGTTGCTGGACATCCATATATTAGTGAGTGAGTTATTATAATACTGAAAAATGGGAACATAAATTTTTAAATTACAAATAATATCAAAGCTTTGTTACAACAAACATTTTAATGTAATTTATATAATATTATTATAGCATTAAAAACCTCAAGAAATACTCTTTGCTTAATAGACATTTTCATTTTCAAACCCCTTAGAAAACTAAAGAAAAAAAGTATGCTATATTAATTTAAACTTAGTAATTATTTGCAGTTGAACTCCAAGATGTATTTGAATCGGAAACATTTATATTCTTGGTATTTGAGTTGTGCAAGAATGGAGAACTTTTTGACTACCTTACTTCAGTTGTGACCCTATCTGAGAAAAAAACTAGATATATTATGAGGTAAGAGACAGAATAAACAATACTAACAATAATTTTATTTAAATATTTAAATAAAATTATTGTTAGTATTGTTTAGCTTACAATATTGTATAGCTTACAAAATACATTACAAATTCACTGTATTTAGAACAATACATAATACTAGCGGCTCACCTCTATAAAACAAAAACAAATCTATCCCTCAGGAACCGTATATTTTTTCAGGATAAAAAATAGCCTATGTGCTATTCCAGACTAATCTATCTTTATGCCAAATTTTATCCAGATCCGTTCAGCCGTTCTGGTGTGAACCAGTAACAAACATCCATACATACTCACACACTTTCACATTTATAATATTTATACAGATTATACAGACTAGCGACTCACCCTTGCTATGCTTGGATTCGTTCTTAGTTTGATTCCCCATACAAACTTTCATCCTCATTTTCACCACCTTAAGGGATAACTTCCGGGGATAAAAAGTATCTTATGTCCTTCCCAAGGTCTCAAACTATCTTCTTGCCAAATTTTATGTAAATCGGTTCAGTAGATCCAGAGATTACACCCTACAACATCACTATCTCACAAACTCAAAAGCTTTACTTCTTTATAATATTAGTATAGATAATTAGCTAGTACTTATATTAAAACTGGTACATACAATACATAATTCTGAAGTATACTGATTTATCAATTGTTTTTGAAAATATAAAATATATTTTGTATATATATACATCCTGCAACTATGTCTTTAAAGCCCGATATACCATAGTGATATTTTTGATAGTTTTTGTATGTTTCTTCATTTTATATTATATCTAGTATAAAAAAAGTACTTTTAAATATATTTATTTAGTTTTACCTTATTTAATCCAATAAAAAAATATTATTGCATGCCCATAGAATCATAAAATATCTAGACTGGCACACATGCATATATATACATATATACTTATGAAATTTTATACATTTGTTTGTCTCTTGATAGAGAAACATGTATAAATATTTTGAAATTCCAATATTATTACATATGTACATAATATGTATGGGTTTATTTGATAACCTCTTTTTTCCTGAAATTGGTCAGGCCAGTGATTTTGTTTTAATTTGGGGTATCTTGCATGATAGCCTACTTTATGTTTTTTCTTTATTTTTATAACATAAACCTCTGTTATAATAATGTCTTTAAACGTTCATTTTTTACCTATTTTGGTTAAAGAGATACAACAATAAATTAAATATAACTTTTATTCTATAAAGGTAGTAGAGAGGAACAGATTGGATAGGCTTTTTATAACTATAATGCCTTTGAGACATCTAAAACCTTAGTCTCTCTCGTGCCCATGATTGCTGTAAAGCATTTGAAACGTTGGGAACCAAAAATCTAATAAATCCTCGAAAAAATCCGTAAAGATAGGTTTATTTAAAATATCAAATATTTGCGTAAAACTAATAACGTATTAATATCCTAGAATTTCGACTGAATTTGTTTGGGTACTGAACCCTAAAAATGTGCAAAAATAAAGAATTCATTTTCAACTTTAAACAATACTTTGGATGATCAAAATATTTTGAATGCAAAGTCAACTTTTATATCGTAAGATACGTCGAAATTGACGTCATTATATTATTTTAACATTGACTCCCTCCTAATCGTGTAAGCACTTAGCATGAGTTAACCTTGATAAAATTCTCGAGGCGACCGTCAACCGAATTTGAGCGTTTATTAATCTATCTACTATAATAAAACTAACTATTTCATAATTATCTTGTATTAAGTAAAGTCGCTCTTTTCATCTGTTTCTTTGGTAAATTCTTTTAAACTACGTACCAAATTTTGATACGGTTTTTGCTATCATGTAGACGTAGAGTTTTCTTCCGGAAGGTTTATACGTACAATAGATGCCGAAAAGCCGAGAATTTCAAAGTTTTGTAATGCTGTCGTATAAAACATATTTTTGGGCGCTCACATTCCTAACGTCGCGTTGCCTAAACCTTACGAAATATATCAAAATAATGTTCTACGGAATTGTATATCTTAAGAAAGAAACTATTTTAAACAATAACTTTATACAGAGCCGTCTTTTATTATTTGATGTTATAGAGGAAGAGCCCGTGAACGCCAGACCTTCGTCATTTTATAAAGGTTGAAAGTTTGTCAGCGCATGCTCCCAACACAGATAAGAACGATGGACCATTATGAAGTTCAGGCTATGGTGGCTTTGGCAGGTACACGGTACTTAAGGTGTGTAAAATACCGATCTAAATTCGTCAAATAATAAAGTGTGATTTTTTGGTATTACCTTCAGAATATTATTAAAAATCTAGCGCTTCAAATTTGGTGACCATTGGCAACATTTTCTTAGAAATGCCTCCCAACTTGTTTGGAACATTTTTCATGGTGTGTAATAAATGCTATGCTAGCAGTCTTATAAATCATCTAATTATTACCCAAGTATTATATATATAAATCAGCTTTTATACTATAACGTAAGTAGAATTATGATTTCATGAAAAGGGTGTCTGGCAAGGATTTGCCACGATGTTAAGTGTCTGGTATTGAATGACGTGATTTTTAATAATATTCTGAAGGTAATACCAAAAAATCACACTTTATTATTTGACGAATTTAGATGATTTAAACACCTTTAGTACGGTGTACCTGCCAAAGCCACCATAGCCTGAACTTCATAATGGTCCATCGTTCTTATCTGTGTTGGGAGCATGCGCTGACAAACATTCAGCTTTTATAAAATGACGAAGGTCTGGCGTTCACAGGCTCCTAGGCCATTATGATTATACCCCATGAGGTCAGTGCTTGATTAAGGTCTTTATTTTTACCTAACGTCTTACCCTAAATTCGCTTTTAAATGGATAAATATTATAAAGCAGGGTGAGTCGCTAGTAAATAGATAAAAATAATTATTACGAGTGTACCTTGTTGTATTACAATGTTTTGTAGGATTTCTTAAAACCTACAATCTTCTAGCATAGCACATTGTTTTGATGTACAATTTACGAATATGTATCTCTTAAGGTTTACCCAGTGTTAGCTATGTAAATTTCAAAAGACGACTCGAGAGAATCAGTTATTATTTTCCCGTAGGGATGATAGATTTTCCAATAGTAAAAGGTATCCGAAATGTTGACCCGAGTATAGCTATAACTTATCACTACACAAAATTTAGTTAAAATCCTTTCAGTAGGTACTTTTTGCGTAAAAGTAAACAGACAAACAGACAAAAAATTCAAATAACTATTGTTTTGGGGTCTATGTTCTGTACACAATATGTTTAAAAAACGCATACCGCCTGTACAATGTAAAAAAACAAATAGAACCTCCCCTATCTTGAATGGGGTGTCACAGGTTCACTTACGCTCTCACGACCACAAAATTACTCTAAGAAAGATTACAAAATTATTCTGAGTTTGATTGTCGATGAGCTCAAAAAAGCCTTTAAAACCATAGGTATTTATTATTAGTGTAAATTATCTTTTTTCCGGCGTTTGCCTCGTATTTTATTATAAGTATCCCCAGTTCTCACATCCCTTGGGTTTCATTTTCCGGGATGATGGTATGATACTTTTGTGCTTAGTAAGTAGGTACCCAATACGTCTTCGTGAAACAAAACAATAGCTTACGGATTCTGAATATGAACAATGCATAAAACCAAGACACGCGCAGATTCTCAACAAGTGCAGATCAGTTGTAGTCTCTTGCATGGTTATGTGCTCTTGGTAGTTTTTCTCAAAATTTGTGCTTGTTTGAAAATTGTTTTTTTTCTTAATTTAAACAAAATGGCGGTCAGTGTCTTCTTTAAAAAGAATTCAGAAGAAAATGAAACGCGAATAAATGAAGAAGCTATTAACAATATTTTCGCATTTATTAAGTAAAGTATTTTTTTATTTTTTATTTATACCTAATATTCTTAATATTATTAATGCAAGTGAAGCAAAACTGTGAAAATATATTCTTCGCATGGTATTTTTATTTTGTAATAATTATGTTGTCAACAATTTGTTTTTGTTTTAAATATTTAAATAAGAAATGTTATAGACCAATCGGAATCCGTTTATTTTTAAGAGATTTTTTTTTATTGAAAACCTGGAGTTTTATGATTTTAAAATGTTAGCAGATATTAGGCAGGTAGGCAGGCTGCTAAAGATGCCAAGGCTCTTAGCATGAACATTTTTGAAAGAGCATTGATAGAGGACCTTGGCTCAAGGGGATCGATGCGAGGGCAATCAGGTCATGGTCCAATATATGTAATAACGTATATATTATACAATAACGTACACACATAATATATATTAGGACTTTTCCTTTTTATTCGTCCTTAGCCGTAAATAGTTATAATTATAAATATATATAAAATGACAGTTATCATAATATTTTTCTAATTTTTTACAGGCAAGTGTTGGAAGGCGTAAGATTTATCCACAGCAAAAGCATTGTACATCGCGACCTCAAACCCGAGAACATTTTACTGGACGACCAGCTTAATGTAAAGATCACGGACTTCGGTTTTGCCAAGGTGCTGAAAGATGGAGAAAAGTTGTTCGGTGAGAAATATTTCTTTAATCATTTTTTTCTTTAGTAATTATGTAAACAAAATGTATTAAATACGCACTAACTTTTTGTATTATTGATTTATTAATAATATTGAATATATTTTAATCTGACGGAATTATTACATATATGTACATAAAAATAATAAAAATAAATAAAAACTGACTTTAAAAAGTAAAAAATAGCTAAACGGTTGTTTAGTTGTTTTTTACTTTTTAGTGCCTGGTTATTTACTATAGATACCTAATCGTAATCAGGTATTTTCGAAGTCGGTGCCAGCCGACAATGCTTTAAGAATTTTAAGAAATAAATAATGAATATCTAATAGTAAATGTGAACTATAAAAAAATGAACAAGATATGAACTCTATTTATAGTTAAAATATTATATAATCATTTGTGATATATTTTTACGTATCGAAATAGATGCTTTGCTTTGCATCGGCATCCATAAAAAAATTTATATACAGACGAACATAGAACCTCCCCTTTTTTGAAGTTGGTTAAAAACAAGGTGAATTTTGAGCTGAAGATATGAAAGTAAAATATATGTTTTAAAAATAAAATTTTTAGGTATTTTCATTAATAATTCTTTTGAATAACATTTAAATTAAAATTTATTTTATTTATAATATAAGTCTGGAATATTTGCATTTTTTCTTCTATACTTTGTCACGACTGATTAAGACCGCTCCATCAAAATTGATTCCATAAACCTTGTATATTATAAAAAAAAAGATTTTATAAGCTAAGATATATTAATTATATAATGAAAAACATTCGTATAATGGAATGTAGTCACATTGTACAGTAATGTTCTCTTTATGCTTTGTTGCCTCCACACAACATTGTTGTTACTTAATACCTACATATTGAATTTCAAACAAGCTTTTGTGTGTAACTTCGCATGTTAAGTATAATAAAAAATGGCGGTAACTGATAAAATATTAAGGTAATTACACAAATGTAATTTAATTAATTAATAATCAGTTGCAGTATCAAAGATAATTAAGCGTCTTCAGTTAGAAGGACTGAAGGAGTTAAGTATTTAATACAGATAGAGATAAAAAATGTCTGAGATTTCGTAGGTGGAAATCTTTGGGAAGTTATGGAAATTGAAATTTTCTTCCTTATTTTGCTGGCTAATAAGAAAATGATGACTTTATTATTTCGCATATGTAATAACATTAGAATAAAAATCTACATAGAATAAAAATTTATTTACACACAACTCTTATGTTAAAATCCATTCAGCAGTATTCCTAGAGTGAGAGGCGGTCCATGTCGGTGGGCGATGTACCATGCGAGTTACTCCTGGTACATCTTTGACAGCAGAATGGACTGTGGGAGAAACCACTTGGTTGTTTGGTCTGCTTCGGCAGACCTGCCGTCGCGTCGGGGCGTCGTGGTTGAGCGCCTAAGCAATCCTGCGACGCCCTATATAGGACGGGAGAGGTTCTGTTGGGTTTTACTGGGGTAGTACTGGCTTCACTACCCGGCGAGTCCCACATAACCACCTGTATGTATGCAGGTGGTAAGCGTAAATGCATTTCCCAACATTAAAAAAAAAAGTATTTCTAGAGTTTTTTGTCCATCTGTGACAGATTTTGATGAAATTTGGTAAGAAAATAGCTGGTTATCCGGGTCAACATATAGAATATTTTTTACTGTGGGAAATTATCTCATCTTTGAGAAATTTATACTAAACCTGCTATAATCAGATATACCTACGCTTAAAACGTTACTCTCTCTGGGAGAGTCGGTAACTAGTTATCTTAATTGCTAATACGACATACATATATGATGATGTTGATATATAAGTACTGAGTAGATATAACGGACTTGCATATTTTATTGATTGCTTCCATTGTAGCCATTCACTTCATACAGATTCTATAACTTAACCATTTCTCACTGTATTACTACTTGTTCTGGAAAAATCCATCCAACCATCCATATTTTCTTTTAATCGCTTAGCTCAAAAATAAAAACCGACTTCAAACAAAAGCACTAAAAAGTAAAAAATAACTGATTGGTAGTTTTCATTTACTATACATACCTAATCAAATATTTTCGAAATCGGTGCCAGCCCATACAAAGCAAAGCACACCGACTTCGAAAATATTTGATTAGGTATGTATAGTAAATGAAAACTACCAATCAGTTATTTTTTACTTTTTAGTGCTTTTGTTTGAAGTCGGTTTTTATTTTTTTGTTAAAAAGTTTTTATTTTTCCCTTTTTAGTGTAGACAGTAGTAGCAAAGTAAGAATTCTAAAGTGTTAGGCTTGTCAAACCAAACAAAATAAGCCCAAACTCAAAGTATCTACTATTAGTCGTTGAAGAGTTCCACCTATCCACTTCCTGGCCTTACCATCAGATCAGGTCAACAATACCGAACCACTGTACTATCGACGGAAATAGAAACACTTGCAAAGTTTCAAGTCAATATGACAATTAGAAGTAGGTTAAATTCATTATTAGCTATTTTTCCACCCTTAGGGGTGGTATTTTTTTTTGAAATTTAAATGGGACCAATCTGGAAGTATACCCTTTCAAACAAAACAAAAATTGTCCAAATCGGTTAATAAATGATGAAGTTCTGAGGTAACAAACATAAAAAAAAAGAACAAAAAAATACAGTCGAATTGAGAACCTCCTCCTTTTTGAAGTTGGTTGAAAAGTAATTTCGCTTTTAGTTTGATATGCCTTAAATGTATGTATATAAAAATCGATGTGTGTATGTGTGCTTCCATGGATTCCAAAACGTCTGGAGCGATTTTGATAAAATTTTTAGGCCATCATCAGATTAGCCCAGCGGGTGATCCTGTGAAGTTGTGTAGCGATCGGAAGTTTGAACGCGTGCGAAACCGCGGGTACTGCTAGTCTTAAATATTTTAAGATATAGAGTAATTTTTAAGCATTGTCGTTTAAAGAAAACACGTATCTATAATTATATTTATATCTACCAACATATTATGTACACTCGGTTGTTTATACATACGTATTCATACACACAAACGCATATATTAACTGAGACATTCAATATTTTTTTATAAATCAATATATGTATCTATTTATAAGTTTTTTATTAATATCTAGTGATCGGCTCATTGTTGAGTTCCGGATGCGTTTTTGTTTTATAAATAAATAAAAATGTAAAAAACTCCACCCCCAGGGTGGAATGTTTAATTTTAATTTTAAGTGGCTTTGAAGTCGGTTTATTTTTTTAATCCATAAGCATAGATAATAAGGATGTTTTTTTTTCCATTTCAGAACTATGCGGGACACCGGGTTATTTGGCGCCCGAAACACTTAAGGCGAATATGTTCGACGACGCGCCCGGCTATGGGAAGGAAGTTGACATGTGAGTTAAAATGTTTCATTGGCCGACTTCAAAAAAGAAGATACTGAATTCGATTGTATTTTCTTTAAATACACCTTCTGTAAGGGGGGAATAATTACTTTTAAATGTAGATTTTTTAGTGAAAAAACATCTAAATACATAATAATAGGTAATCATGCTTTTTTTTGAGTTCAGTTGCATTAAAATCGGGTCTGTGATAATAGAGTATATTTTTGACTTTCACTTTTTAAGTTGCACTTAATTTGAGTGTACTTTTTTGTGTGTATGTTATCTTATATTTCCAATAATTGATTTACAATTTACAGAATTTTTGACATTTTTTTTAATATAACACAAAAGTAAAGTCACATAAATTAGATCAATAATAACTAAAGTAATTATTTAATAACATTCCAATCTACAAATTCGACCTCATTTTTGTTTATTATGAAACGTGCCTATTGATAAAATCTTCACAATTATAATAAATACCTAAATTATATTTCTAGGTTAAAAAACGCATAATTTGTATTACAGTTGGGCGTGCGGCGTTATTATGTTCACATTGTAAGTGTTTTTTTTTAAATATTTTTTTGTTATTTATATTATAAATGCGAAAGTTTGTAAGGATGTATGTTTGTTACTCGTTCGCGTAAAAACTACTGAACGTTTTTTGATGAAACTTTACACTAATATAGCTTATACATTAGAGTAACATATAGGCTATAACTTGCAACTTAATAATAAATAAATAAACTTACATTCGCTTCGCTCGGGTGCGTCTTTAGGTGAGCGCATTTTTTGACAATTTCAAGGTCCCGTCAAAATCGGTCCAGCCGTTTCGGTGATCAGCCGGAACAAATACCGGACGGACAGTCAGACAGACAAAAAATTAAAAATTGTTTTTCTTATAATTACCGTATCATATAGATACTTTCGTATGCATTTAGTGAAAAGCTATTATTTTGACATTACAAACTGACACTTCCATTATATATATTTGTAGATATAGATGTCTATGTATGTACATATGTATGTATTTATACAATTATAATAGTTATTCTGCACACCGCCTACTGATTCTACCACACATTCCACATCAAGGTTGCCTGAAAGAGATCGCTTTTAGCGATAAGGCCGCCGCTGCCGTACATCTTTTCTTTGTGTATTATTTTCGTTGTGGTTCTTTGTTTTAATATGGTGTACAATAAAGAGTACATATATCTATATATCCATCTTTACACCAATATAGCTTATGTACATCGGAGTGACACGTCCATACTAATATTATAAATGTAAAGGTATGTTTGGTTTGTTTGTCCTTCTTTCACGTCGAAACAGAGTGACGGGATTGGCGTGATTTTTTGTGTGAAGATAGTTGAAGGGTTGAAGAGTGACATAGGCTAATTTTTACTGATGGAGATTAACATCATTCCCACGAGAAAACACGTATAATACAACCCAAAAAAATATTTATGATCAGAATTACTTGAAACTTGGTATTAATGCTCTTCAATAGAATCAAATAAATACGTGTTTTAGCATTTTTCGAAATTCATCCCTTAAGGAGGTAAAATAGGGGATGACAGTTTGTATGAAACCTATCTTTTAGAGTACTTTTTGTAGTTTTAGCGCGAGCGAAGCCGCGGGATCTGCTAGTATACTATAAGTAAGCCGCGGGAAAACGCTAGTTATTCGTACAATCTCGTATTCACACTGAAATTTTGTTAATTTTAATTACTTCTAATATTACTGTGTAATGAGTTTTATTGCAGAAAACGTGAAACTATTTTACCAATCGTGTTAGTCGAATGTATTTTAATAAACGTTCGGTGTAAATTAATTATTTAATTATTATAGTGCATTATAATGCTATTAATAAAACATTTTTATACAATTTTTTTTTACATAATTTTGTTTAGTGTTTACATTTATATATAATATATATTGTATACATTTTAAAGTAGTGTGTATGTGTGGAGTGTTTGGTTGTATGATTATTATTTATTTCGTTAATTACTTGATTAATGTCGAATAACAGTGTTGCCATGTAAATTTTATTTATGAACATTTTTGAAGGGAAACTTCTTTTGGCGTCAAGTCAAGTCAAGTGCGAGTAAAATTCGCACACGAAGGGTTCGGTACCATCGTACATTATTACACTTTTTATTAATATGATTTACTCTATGTTGTAGTATATAAACTTCGATGATCGATTATAAACGTTAAAAAATGTTACTTGTAGATTTTTTTATTATTTGTTGTAATGGCGAGAATTGAAGTACATACTTTGTGAAAATTTCTACTCTCTACCGGTTCATGAGATTACAGCCATCTGACAGACGGACGGATATAATATAAATAGTTCAAAGAATAAATTAAATAAAAATAAATATTTATAAAAAAAAAATCTACTTCTTTCATTTATTTTTAAGGAATTATTTATTGAAACATTACACCATATTTTCATTGAAAATTAAATTTTATCTAAACAGTATCTGTCATGTGTGAATAATAAAATATTGTTTTCCTTATTCAAATCCATAGAAAACGTTTTTTCAGTATCTATCCTATACGAATTATTTAAAACATACTCGTAAATTGAATTTCATAAAAAACACCGATAACACTACACACACACGACTACAGAAGTTTCACTTCTTGCGCGTGTACACACTACACATTAATACACTCTTTAATTTTTTTATGTATGTATTAACTTTTTTTTTAGTTTTATCTTTTAGTCTTGTTTTAAATTAAAGTTTTTGCTGGGTGTTTTGTTATTATTTTTTTACAAAATAATTATGTATTTTTTTAAATTCTAGATTGGTAGGGTGTCCGCCATTTTGGCATCGCAAGCAAATGGTGATGTTGCGTAATATAATGGAAGGGAAGTACTCCTTCACCAGTCCCGAATGGGCTGATATATCAGGTTTGTATTTTTACTCCCATTTGTTTACATTATTGCATCTATTTTATATAAGTTTGTACATTTTCTGTGGCACTATCTATTGTGGTGTAACGCGGTTACCTTGAAAATAAATTGTATTTTATACTGGCTTATGCGGAAGAAATTTAAAATCGCAGTCTAAAGAATTATATAGATGGAGCCCGCCAAAAAAAGTCAAAAATTGTAATGTGTTTTGCCGTTAATGCTACTATTTTCGATTTTGACATATTGTTTATTTTTTTTAAATAAGAAAATGTTTATATAGGTTTTAGTCGTTAATTTATAATTTTTGAGAAGAAAATATGATAATAAAAATAAAATTATATTACTTAAATTGTATTTTTCTCTTGAAAGAGAGATAGCATACATAATATTAGCTTATTTGTTTATTTTTACTTCATTATCTATACATATAATAAAATTGCAACTAAGCCGATTCTGTACATTAAATAGTTTTTGGAAAATCTTATTGAAATAGACATTATTATCGATACAGAGGCGTTACAGAGAAGTTTTTAGAATTTTTGTCTGTCTGTCTTTCTGTCTGTCTGTTCACGGTAAAACCAGTGGAGGGATTTTGATGAAATTTGGTATGATGATAGCTGGTTATCCGGGTCAACATATAGGATACTTTTTACTGCGGGAAAATATATCATCTCTGAGATATTTATGCTAAACGTTAAAACGTAGGGACGAGCCCTAGCGGAGCGAGGGTGAGTCGCTAGTATCTAATAAAACCCATTAGCTATTTTTATTTGTTATCATTTATTTACTTAACGCAGCGATGAATATTCTATTAATATTTGCATTCTGTTTTAAAACATTGTATATTATTATTTTAAATCATTATTGTTTTGCTTCATATTTAGTTCAATGACACTGTCTATATTATTCCTTCGCCTGAGTTTAAAATTTAGCGTTTTAAAAATTTAATTTCGGTTAATGTTCGGAAGTGTACTTGTATAGAGTTAAATTGAATCTAACAATATAGTTTTAGTATAAAAGATTTGAACGTAAATAATAAAAAAATATTAATTATGTTTGTAGAAGATCCAAAGGATCTGATAAGACGACTGCTAGTCGTCGAACCGATCGAAAGAATCCCTTTAGAGCACGCTTTGCTACATCCATTCTTCCATACAGTGGTGAGTGACCTCTTCGTGTTGTATGACGCTCTGGTACTTTTGCGCGAATTATCTCACAATTTAGCTTTTACCATAGACGTTAAAGAGTGGACTGAATGTTTCTTTACCAGCCGTCAGCTAAAAATGGCGGAAAGGTGCGACAGAGACAACGAATGTGCGGCCAGAAGTCTCCTGTATTAATAGAAATACGACTAATGTAGACAGATATTTATAAACGTTTTACATTCCATTATAATATTTTATGAATTGTTTAATCATATCTAAATTTTTTACACAATCCACTTATAAATTCAAATTGGAATAAAGGACAGGAACGTATTGGCCGCACGTTCGCTATATCTCTTTCTAGAGAGTAGCCCATTTTATGCTCAGTCCATTCTCTACGGCTATGGCTTTTACAAAACAAGTATAAGAAAATACTTTTTATAGTATTTGTTATTTTTTTAGTTGCTAGAATGTACTAAAAATATTCTTTAAAAAAAATAAATGACATCACGTTTTTGACGTGACGTGATTTGACGCCACTTATGCTTTTTTTTCTTTTTCAATTTTTTTTCTAGCAATATTTTCTTATTAACGCTTTCAAGTCTTTCGATGGTCTTTGCACATAAATATGCTTATGTCAATAATAGGTACATACACAACATCGGTGTATGAGAGTAGAGCTTATGCCTTCACGTAAATATATGTTTAAAATAATTTTACTTTTTAAAGCATGTCACATTGAAGCGAAAATAAATTATTACAAGAATTCATTTGAAATTTAACAGTTTTAAAAAGGGTGTTCATGAAGTTGTTATTAATATAGTTTTTTATGTTAATTAAAAGTCTTTGAAATAATCTGGACAATTATGATATTTTTTAAATACCATAAATTTAATACTTTTTTAAATATATAACTATATATTAATACGTGAAGCAATAAATTTGTACCCCTTTTTACGAATATTGCGCGGACGGAGGAGTATGAAATTTCCCACACTTAAGTATAGTTTATATAGAGAAGGAGTGCAGAATGCTAATATTTTTTTAAATTATCCATAGAAAATACATTAAATCATTAAAAAAACATTACACACACTACGATGTATTTGACACACACATGCATACATATTTTTTTGTTTATTGTTAAAGTCTATGATCAAATTGAGAATAGATTAATCTTGTTTGTAATTTGTTCTAAAATTCTTTTGGATTTTATAGGCTATTTATTATTTATATAACTTTGAAAAAAGAATCTCAATGTCGATCAAACTTAATGAATTGTGGTTGATTTTTAACCACGAGGCGATTACTATTATGTATAAAGACTTGACGTGATGTTTTTAGTTTATTTTCGCTCTAATGGCACGTTTACGTTTATGATGATTTTGTTAGCTGTGGGACCAAGACATGACACCAATCAAGAAGTCCTTCTCCGGCACCAGCCGCAAAATGTCCAGGATCGACCAACTGGCAATGGTAATATTATGCTAGTGTTTGCTTGCAATTAACTCATACATGCACTAATAACACACACACATACACACAAATACGCATACATACAATAAATATGTCTATACTAATATAATAAAGAGGTAAATTTTGTTTGTATGCGAGGGTAATTTCTGGAACTACTGAACCGATTTCACAAATTCTTTCACTAATAGAAAGCACATGAACCCTGACGGATATAGGCTGTATTTTATTTTGATGAAAAAAAGTTTTTAGTTTTAAATCTTAATATTTCAAATTTCTAATTTTCTGCAAATTGAGTCAAAGTAAAATGCTCTAAATAGCTGCTTTATCGGCTGCGCTGGCCTAATCGTTGCCTGTATATGAAAATAATGTTCTCAATCAGGGACGAACTCGAGCGAAGCGAGGCTGAGTCGCTAGTTCTTAATACTACGTGCATGAACCGTAGGTGTTTCGCTTTTCATCAGATTTTTTGAATCACGTTTCCTTTAAATGAGCAAAATCGTTCAATGATAGATGTGTGATTTCCTCAAATGATTTTAAGAAAGATTTTTTACTGACTCACACTCGCTTCTCTATGTTGCTCCAGGTATTCGATCTCCACATAGTTTATCTTTTATCATTTCTCGCTTTAATTTAAAAAAAGTCCAACTAAATAATTTAACTAATACATTTTAGAATAGTTTCCTTTTATATAATAAGATAATTATTTAAAAAAAAATATAATAGGCTTACTTACATTAGTACACTTACAAAAACAATGCATTTTAGTTTTTACACATTACCTACTATTTGAAACTATTTTAATAAAAAAAAATGCTTTTCGTAGTGCATAGAATGAGTGTTGCATGTGCATGATATAGCAATAAATATTAGATTTACGAGTATTCACTTTAGGCCAGTAAAAATAGACGTTTTTTTGGTCAACTTTGCACTAAATTTCCGATCTTAAAATCATTATATAAAAATAAATTATAAAGTTACTGGGATACTTGTATTTACTGATTGTTCTTTTTTTTTATAAAAACTATTTACAATTTTTTTTATTGTACAATTATGCCAAATTTAAATAAAATGTAGATATGTTTGTTAAAATTTGGCCGAATATAAATTTTGTTACTAGTTAGTTTAAAGATATTGGGAATAGCTTCTGGGTCTAGATTGCAGAAATATATCTAGACAAAATAGACAAAAGAGCACTGTGCGCGTGTCAAAAAACCTGTTATGCACTATGCACAATGTTTCAAAAAAATTTAATTTTGAAAACACGGTTAATTGCAAGTCTTGACTTGAGAGACATCTGACGCATTCATTTCGCGAGTTATCGACTACGTCAATAATATTATCTATAAATATAATAAAATATTAACTGAGTCGAATCTGTACATTAAATGTTTTTTGGAAAATATTATTGAAATAGTCATTATATAATTATCGATACAGAGGCCGAATCATAGTTTTTAGAATTTTTGCCTGTCTGTAACCGCATCATGAGAAAACCACTGGACAGATTTTGATGAAATTTTATACGATGATAACTTATAGGATACTTTTTACAGCGGGATAATATCTCATCTCTGAGAAATCTATAATATAATATAATTACGTTAAAACGTAATCAGGGATGAAAACGAGCGGAGCGAGGGTGAGTCGCTAGTCCTTAATATAATTCAAAAAAGTAAATATACAAATAAACATATTGTTTTTTTTTTAAATGTGCTTTTTTATTACCTATATAAAATGTATCAATCAGCATCTAAAAATGCCGTAGCTCAAATATACGTATTATGTTCGTTCTTTGTCAATAACTAGCGAAATTAATGCGTCAAGATGCCTCTCAAGACAATACTCACAATTAACTAACAAGCTAGTGTTTTTAAAATTTAAATGAAATAAAAAACTGCGCTATATAGCTGACATTTTGACACGCTCGTCGTGCTCTCTTTGCCGTTCTGTCTCCATATATTTCTGTTTATCTGTCGTTGTATAGTTATAACGTATTATAGTATTATCACCTCCTGGTAAATTTACAAAGAAATTAATTAAATTTCTAAGAAACCTATTGTTAACTGTAACGCCGGCGTGTCCGCGGTCGTTGAAGGATTAATATATTTATAAGTTAACATTCACATGTAGGCAATAAAGTCGGGCGGTTTCAACGCGCGGGCGAAGTTGCGCATAGCGCTGGTGACGGTGCGCGCGGCGGTGCGCCTGCGCCACCTGCCGCACACCGCCACGCACGCCATCGCGCTGTGCGACGCTATGGTCGACCCATACACCATGCGCGCCTTGAGGAAGGTGGGTATATAGTTATTTTATCTATACTACTAATAAAGAGGTAAACTTTTTATATAGGGGGTAATTTCTGGAACTACTGAACCGATTCCACAAATCTTTTCACTAATAGAAAGCTACGGATATAGGCTATATTTTTGACTTTAATTATTATTAGCATTATATGACAATTACTGGGAAACGAGATGGCGCTATAGTGCTCTTAACTTCGAAACCGTTCGTTATAAAAATCAATGGGGGTTTATCTACTGTATGGATTTATATATTGACGACTATGGTACGGGTTTTATCATTAAATGTGCTAAAAGTTCTTAAAAGACTTAACACCTTCTTGCTTAAAGGTAAACTAAAACAAAATACTAGCAAAGGCTAGTGGCAAGAGAGCTGGCTCGTTTTTTATTTAAACAATTGAGCGAGGAGTGCAGTTACCATTCTTGTTATAATTTTACGCAGATTATATGATTTGTAGTACGCGTATTATACGCGTTGAACTTGCGTTTGTTTATCATCTAGGAAGGTTATATGTTATGATTTATGAACATTTTACGAAAAAAAAACGACTAGTATAATGATATTAGTTAATTAAATCGGATAATAGCTTCTAGCACTAACAAATAATAAATATATCTGACTTCAATATATAATTAATCGTGTAATCACAGGTGATCGACGGTTGCGCATTTCGCGTATACGGTCATTGGGTTAAGAAGGGCGAAGGGCAGAATCGTGCGGCACTCTTCGAAAACATGCCGAAGACGGAGTTGAAGAGCTTGTATGTCAGTAACTTGAGTCGATAGCCACTGAACGTACGATGAGCTATCTCCTCGCCGCATCTGCTGCCCTGATACTTTGGTGAGTCTTTACGTGTGATTGATTAACACTCCATCTTGTATAAAAGGTGAAGGTGAGGTGATAATGAATCTTTATACATTTTTTTTAATTTGAAGTACATATAAAACAATTAATAGGTATAGCTGTTAGTTTTAATTTGTAAGCTTTTTGTAAGCCGATCATTGTTAATTTTAATATATTGCCAAATTTCAAAATCATTGCTAAGACTCATTGTCTTATTGTGTCCCCCTCACAATATGTGCCACCGGCAGAATGTTCAGTGTCCTTTAACGCCATTCCAATCTAATAAAAGAAAAAAATAACGCTTGTAGCGTCACCATTATAATTGATGCTTCCCTGGTAGTTTAGTTTTTTTAATGATTTAGAAAAACATGTAAGATCTAGAATCTAGATGATCTGTGCGAATTCTTTGTACACTTTCGTGTATAATACGGATTACCAAATAGATAGCGCCTTTTATATTTTAATATAAAAACGAATCCTATAGAAAGTTTTTAAAGAGAAAGTAGATATTTCGTTATTTCTTAAATATCGATTTTTTAATATAACAAAATATCTATTGATATTGATAAAGTATTAAGGGAGAATGGCGACCGACAAAGAAATGACTTTGGGAAATAAAAACAATATTGTGTATTATTAAATTGTTTTTTTTTAATGTATTGAGGCTTGCAATAAAGTTTTTTATTAGATGTAATTAATGATGAATCGATACTTTATTGGTTCAGATGCCCCATTCCATACACAGTTTGAGGCTATTATTGTTCACTTAAATATACGATAGTTGGCGTTGATGCAGAGACTGCCAAATTACTTTATTTTTTAAATAATATGTTAATACTGTTTACAATTAAGGGCGCACCGAGGCAATTACCAAAAAATTGTGTTAGTCTGATTCCTTGCCGTATTGTTATTACTAAAACTTTAATTATGTAATTAATATGTAGGATATTTAAGGATATATTCTATAAATCGTACACTTTAGAAACATGATTACTTGTAGTTTCCTCGATAGAAAAAAATATTCAAAATGATTTATTTATTTTATTTATTACTAGCATTGCCCGCGGCTCCGCCCGCGTTCAGGTGACCAAAAAGCATATTCTTAGGTTTTACATATACTCTTACAATGCAGTTTTTGTATTTTTGTCTCAGAAATAAGATATTTTCCCGCGGTAAAAAGTACCCTATATGTTGACCCGGATAACCAGCTATCACCATACCAAATTTCATCAAAATCTGTCCAGTAGTTTTCTCGTGATGCGGTAACAGACAGACAGACAGATAGACAGACAGACAAAAATTCTAAAAACTATAGATTCGGAATCTGTATCGATAATAATGTCTATTTCAATTAGATTTTATAAAAAATATTTAATGTACAAATTCGACTTAGTTACAATTTTATTATATGTAATAGATCTCTAAAAAACAAAATAAACCCTTAGTGCAGCGTCAATAATTCAAGGAAGTTCATCAGTTTTTTAATAATAACAAAACTATACGTTTTCTATATCGTATACACTTTACATTTTCAAAATGTGTATTTGTTTTAAGAATACGTAGGAAATACCTAAATTCGCACGCGTTCCGTCCATCCTACACCCCACAGTTCCATGGTAAGCTAAGAGGCCTGTGTTATGTATACCAGATAGTTGATACACTACACATGTATAACTTTTAAGGCATACATATTATAAATATGACTGATTACCTATGACTGATGATGATCATGTACAAATATTCGTGATCACCCAAATAAATGCCCCCAGCGGGACTCGAACCCGCGACCGCTGGCACAGCAAGTACAAATAGCACTACAAATTGAGCCAAACGTGTCGTCCAATATAATGACTTCCCTCAGTCACGCTTAAAAAAGTTTTATGTCATTTATAACAACGGTTGTGTGTCCACAGGGGTACCAGGATAGCAGCATCACAGAAGACGCGGGTCAAGATCCCAGACGAACAAACGTGTGACTGTAGGTTAGTCGTAGTATGGCCTCGTATACTACTTGTCCTCACTCTGATTTCCTATACACTTGAGGACCAAATATAATTAGTTAATTAGTCGAATTAGTAGCAATAAATGCAATAAATATTAAATTTATATACAATGATTTTAAACTGTAGTCCGTAACCAGATACTCTCATTAATGTAATACGTACATATGGTGTTACATTATTCTATATACATTATTATATGGTGTTTATCAGTGGCTTAGCTATGCCAATGCAACCAATGCGGTCTCAGGGGATCAGGGGCCCCAACGGGCTACAAACGATTCTTTTTTTTAGAAAAAAAATCGCGGACGGCCCTCGTAAAGTTTCAAAAAACCGCTAGAGGCAGAGTTTGTTTGTTTGCTTGTTTAAGCACGCTAATCTCAGGAACTACTAATGCGATTTGAAAAAAAAATGCATTAGATATCCCGTTTTTTGAGGAAGGCTATGTGCTAGATATCATCATGCTACCCAAGAGCGGAGTAGTAATCAAAAATGTCAACAAATGGGGCAGACTTCCATAGATTATTGTAAAACTATATAATATAAATGAAAGGGACAAAAAAAGGAACGAATCCGAGCGAAGCAAGGGTGAGTCGCTAGTTCAAGTATATTAGAGTGCGGCAGGGGTCATGCTGGTTTTTTTGCATTAGGGCCTAAAAAGGCTAGTTACGCCACTGGTGTTCATAGAGCGCCTTAAATTATTTAGTAATCACGGTAGATGTATTTAGTTTTGTAGTCTCAGTACACCTGATTTGTATATTTAATCGTTTTATTACGGTTTCTAAACGATGTTCGAATAACGCTTCACGAAATGTTACTTACAAAACAATATGACATTTTGAATACTATTCTTATATATTTTTACTTTATGTACATTGTACATTATATGCCTTTAATAATATTTAGAGTTGATTTTATTATGATAATTTGTGATTGCATACGCACTGCCTCCTAGCGGTACATTTTGAAAAAGCAATAGTTTATTTTTGACATGTGCCTATTTTGTAAATTTTGTCAAGTTTCTTAAAGAATTATAGTACAATTTGGTGCCGATTTATCTTATATGTAATATATGTATACTATAAAAATGTAATATTTTAACATAGAATAGTAAATATATATCTCATAATAAACGTACAATTTGTATAAAATGCCATTTAGATGTAAAAAAGCTACTCAACTTGGCTTATTCTAGGTTTAAAGTGACACAAAAACACACAGTATGTATTTTACTATGGTAAAAGTCAACCCTACCCTTATTACTCGCAAAAGTTTCACCGAAATCGGTTAAATAGAATAGAAACATTACATCTTATGTATATTTTTTGTATGTGTTTACATAATTGACACGACAACAAAAGGAAAAATTATTTCGTAAATAATAAATGTAATGGAGATTTTCGCCCAATATTGATGTACGCATTACCTATAAGCCACAAGTCTATTTTTTTATATAGTCCCAATTAAGCATTGTAAGTGAAACTGGCTCTTATGACTGAGATTTGTGTGATTGAATACGTAGATTAAATATAAGACGAAGGCTCACATTATACACAATATGGCAATATTAATGTTCTCTCATATAATTCGAATAGAATAGATTTTTAAACGGATTATTATCGATTTAAACGAGATAAAACTAGTAATATCGATATTTATTTTTCATATAAGTTTAATTTTTTTGTTTGTCTTTTCCATAGTTTTTCAGTCAAGATCAGTTTAATTCAAAACTGGGAGTTGTCTACATTCTCGTTTGACACGTTACTCATCACTAGTTTCGGTTTTTCATCTAATATTTACGGTTTACTCAAGTTTGCTAGTTTGTTGAATTGTTTTATTTTATAGTAAAATAAAAATAAACTTGTATTTTAAATGAGGTGTTTTCTTTTAAACGACATAGTTTTTTTTATTAATTGTTTTTAGAACGTTCTGTGTTCTTAAAAAAAATTGAGAAAATTATATTATTATAATAACAATAATCTTCTTTTTTTAATTTTTGAATAAGTTCATGAGAATTTAATTCCTTAATTGTGTTGTAGCATATATAATAGGGGTATTATGAGTCTTCTAAATTGTTCAGTATTTTTGTTTATTTGTTTCCAATGAAAAAATGGGACAAGTGTATGTCTGATTCGCTCACTGAGGATTCCTTTAACTATTTATTTTTTCTCTCTTCAGTTACACATACAAAATATTCGTATTTTTTATAATTTGACTACTAAAATATCTACCGATTCACACAGCAACCAAATTTTAGTAATATAACTATGTAGTTTCGAAGTAAAGTGCCTGAGATATACGAACAGACAAACATGATGTACAAAAAGCAAAAAGAACCCTAAAACACAGTGTGAATAAACAAAATGAAAAAGTTAACAGTTTCAAATCTATGGAAAATTTGATCGTATTATCTAAGTCATACTAATTAGCTACATTTTACATGGCCATTTTCAAATCTATGGAAAATTTGACCGTATTATCTAAGTCATACTAATTAGCTACATTTTACATGGCTGGCCTAATTACTGATTAATGACAAACGCTCGTCGCAAGGCGCTTTCGTAACGAAATAGTTGTATGTATTAGATTATACTTAGGTATACTACGTGTTCGCTTTCGTAGCTCTTTGCATTTTGCAATAATAAACTGTCCCTATAAAAATAAAGACCTTTTAACGTTGCTGCGTAAAAGAGCGTTACACACTGAAGTGGATACATACTATTTGTTATATTCAGTGCTACAATCGTAATTGTCAGAGGTTTTAAGCAATTTCTACTTTATATGGGCTTTTTAACATGTCTGTCTGTTAGTGGATCTCTTAATGTTAATACCTAGTAGTTTCATGTATTTTTTTATTGTTTTTTTTTATTCTTATAGAGGTTTGAGTTACTAGAGTTGACCTAATATCAAAATGAGGTTTGTAAACTGAGTTCGTATGAAAATAATAATGTAGTCTGTTACATTTAGTTTTAATGATTTATTTTGCATATAGTTTACGCTCCTTGTACCTGGAGGGCGATCGTCCCCTCACAATCGCAAGGTCACTGTAATTATGTGATCATAGTATTGATTCATACTGCGTGAATTTCCTATTTAAAATGGTTTAACGTCGACAAATTATTTAACATGTTATTTTTAGCGTTTTTGAAAGAAATATATTTCTCTTAAACTTTTTCTTATTTTTTGAATCTCAAGTTATTAAAGCTGATACAGATTGTTGTTTTATCGAGCAGACAGAATTTCAATACGAATTGATCTAAAAATACAATAAATATTTTAGCTGCTATGCGTCAGCGGTGAGGCTAAGTGAAAATTAAAGTGTACAACTTTTTATTCCGCGCGCAACTCGATGCAGTGAAAGTCGGCTCGAGTGGCACGTGCTGCCGCGCCCGCTCGGGAAAAGCGCCCCGCGTAAACAAAGCGCGCCGCGTCACCGCTAGTCCATACTGCCAACTCACCAACAATAATTAACCGATTTCACCTAAATTAACGATCGAAGTATTGTCTTATGCTTAACGATGAACTAGATACGTTAATGTTAGTAGTAAGTAAACGCAATTACCGATGTCTCATGCGTATTGCCTAGACACAGTTGACAGTCGATCGCTCGCCGCCGCGCCGCCGGCCGCACTGGCATCGATCGCGCACGCCCCGCGCCGCGCACTCCGAGCGGTGCAATTGGCCGGGCGGCGCGGCCACGTGACCGCCGCGCCGCGCCGCAATTGGTCGGCGGGCCGGCGGCCACGTGAGCGCCAGCACGCGCGTGGCCAGTCGCGGCATGACAGCGGGCGCGCTCGTACCGCGCGGCCGCCCGCGCTCCCAACATGAGCCTCCTCGACACGCTGCTCGAGGCGGCGCGCTTCATCGAGCTCCAGGAGCGGCGACTCCAAGCCGGTAAGTGCAGCGCCTCCGGCCGACCGCCCGCCCGCCCCGCGCCGCCCGCCCGCTCTTGACCTTGAACTCCACGCGCCCCGCCCCACGTAAACAAAGGAAGCCCGAAATTCGCCGGTTACGAGCCGCTCGCCCGACTTCTGTTATGCCACGCAGTGATTATGTGATTAAATAACCGTACCCCGTGCATACGTAGTTCGAGACGCCGACGTAGTTCCTTTGTGCAAGTATTTCCTCGAGCGTGCTGCGTACTTTAGCCGAGACTAAACGGAGGCGATGCACCGTACTGCGCGTGCGATTATAGTCTCTATTGCCCGAGTGCTCCGTTCCCTGTAACGTGGGCAGCGGAGTCGCTATCGCGAACGATAGTTATTCACTTGCGATGTGGATAGTTTTCTCTACGAATGGAGTTGCGCGTGCACTTATTAGCGGCCATTCTCCAACACGCACACGTATTGCTCGTCGAGTGAGCGGCTATTCGGCACGATTTGGGTATCAAACATTTTGGTCTTTATTACGTACACGGCTGCCCGAGTAGAATAATGTTACGCGGGTCGGGACGGCGTGAGGCAGTGGTCGACGCTCTCGACTCACGAGTGCCGCGCGGGAGGACAGTCAGCTGTTCGACGCGAGAAGCGGCGTGGGGGAGGGGGGAAGGGGGGGGTGTCGATGTGCACACACATCCTGTGACTGCCTTCTTTACATCCTAACCGTGGTGCACGTAGGTTTTAAAACGTATAAACTTCACAAAATCTGGCACAAGGTATGGTTGCGTAACCGTTGTGCGTCTGTACCTACCGTTAGGCGATGAACTCATGTTCTCGTTGCATTATCGCCTCTGATAAAAGCGAATGGCATAGGGTGGCCGATTCTTTTATCGTTTTTGATTGTGAACAATGACTCCTTTGTGTTACACACCAACACTGAGGTCATTAGTATAACAACAATTATTGCAATATTAAAGATTTACATACTTTAGTAAGCTCTGCGCTCTTAAAATTATATATAATACTTAAAATGAGACAACATTATGTTATCAGTGAACAACTATTCAAGACTAACTTGTTACACGCAGGTGAAGTCTTTCCTCGTTGATAGGAAGCACTGTTGATTTTAAATGCAATGTACAGTACATGTATTATAAAGTAATTAGTAATTGTTCTTTATATACCAAAATTTATCTCTCAACAAGAAAGAAGCCAACTAGACAAGGTCGTATCGGCCGTGGCGCTATCATGTTTACGTACAGGCAGACATTTTTACACGTGTAACGACCAGGTGGTTCAACCACTCGCAGCTCATGCTTCCCTGGTAACTTTTAACATTTGAGTCCCTCTCGAGCTCGAGTACGAATGTGTTTTAGTTTATTTTGAAATGAAACTGGTTTTTCAGTTCTGCGTAAGCTTCATTAATCGCAATCTTTTAATGTTTGAGCGGAAGTGTTACTACTGTTATTAGTTAGAAAATGAGTTAGTAGTACCTATTAGTGATGTAATGAATTGAATTTTGAGCAGAATGCGAATGCGAATTTTCGTTACATCACTAGTAGGTACTGTATTAAGAACTAGCTGTAATTGTGGTTTTAAGTCATGATGATAAAAATCGCTTATCTACAGACAGAAAATAGTGTTTTATTTGTCTTACTGAAATGACTTTTGGTATAGTGAGAATATTCATTAACAGTATAGATAAATATGTTTTTGTTATTACAACATTTTTTTTCACACAGTTACTGTATATAAAAAATATGTTGGGACATTAAGCCACAACACCATCTAGTTCCATGGTAAGCTACGAGGCTTGTGTTATGGATACCAGATAGTTGATACACTACACATATATAACTTTAAATACATACGTATTATAAATATAAGCACCCATGACTGGAGTACAAACATTCTGTGTTCATGTCACAAATGAGTGTCCCCAGCGGGACTCGAACCCGCGACCGTTGGCACAGCAAGTAGGGTCACTACAAACTGAGCCAAACGTGTCGTCAATATATATTCCATACTAATACAGCAGGTGTGCAAAGGAGTTATAAAGCGATTTCTTACACACAACAAAGTGTTATTTACCTTTAAAATAATAGTCACAGAAACATTAGTAATGAATATACATATTACATGGAAGAATATTTTTTTTAACTTTATTGACCCTGATATCTGCATTGGTGTCGTGGGATTAAAAACCTGTAATCAAATGTTTGACTCATACAAGAAGACGGTGGCTTAACATGATATCATACATGATTTATGGAATACCGTGACAAATTATAATTGTATTAAAGTCGTATGTACATATATATATATATATATATATATATAGGTCGTATCAAAAGCTGGAACTAATATAGACATTTTGTTTATTGTATAGCATTATCTATAGCAATAAATTGTTAGGTAATTATAATAAATTAAATAATAACCGCCTGTCGACAGTATAATGACTTTATAAAAATAATGTATTTTTCAATATTTTCCCACTTATTCAATGTTTTATTTTTTGCAACCACCAAACATCGCGTGATTCAATTATATGGTGTAACATTAATTGTTAACTTATATTACTAGACTGTTTATATGTTATTACTTTACGGATTGTTCCTGAGAATTAGGTCTACGAACGTTAAACAAATATCTTCATGGGTTTTTTTTGTGTTGCCATCCCAAAGCTCATTGTACAAAAAATAGGAAAGTTGTCAGCATTTTTTGGAAATTTTAATGATACGAAACAAATATCCATATCCGTACTTCCATACTATCTATGCTAATATTATAAATGTGAAAGTGCGTTTGTTTGTTTGTATGTCTGTCCTTCGTCGAAACAGAGTGACGGATTGTTTGATTTTTGGGTAGAGATAATTGGGCTTGAGAGTGACATAGGCTACTTTTTACCGCGGGAGATTATCTCATTCTCACGGGAGAACATGTTATAATACAACCAAAAAAAAAATTATGATCAGAATTACTTAAAACTTGGTATTAATGCTCTTCAATTTTCAATTCAGTAAAATAAATACTTGTTTTAGCATTTTTCGAAATTCATCTCATGAGGGGGTGAAATAGGGGATGAAAGTTTGTATGAAACCTAGAGTATTTTTTGTAGTTTTAGAGCGAGCGAAGCCGAGGGTTGCGCTAGTCAGTTGTTTTATAAATCATCCAAAGCTTAAAACTCTCATCACAGCAGCATTTAGATAATATGTTACTGTTAAAAGTAGAAATCTTAAAATTCGCCTTTGATGATTTCGAGGACCTCTTAAAATGCATCGCTTGCAGAACTTTGCAGACCTAGATTTTTCTTTATAAAAATAACATTTTAATAATACTGCTGTTAGAAACAAAACATGTACCTACGGGTATTCATAAAAATATTTTTGGTACCAATATTTGGCAAAAATGTCGTTATTGTTCTTGTTTTAAGAATTATGCTTTAAATTACTTTACTAGATATTAAATATTTATATATTAGGTGCGGTTATTATTTAATCCCTCACGACCGCGGACTCGCCGGCGTGTCAGTTAACAATAGATTTCTTAGAATTTTAATTAATTTCTTAAAAATTTACCTGGAATTAAAAATATGTATTAAAGGTCTCATGACACAATGTCCCATATATTATGTGTGGAATGGTAATTAAAAAAATGCATACAATGTTTCTGGTACAGCTTCATCAAACTTGTCTGTACAATTTACATTGTGTCAGTTACATGAAAAAGAAGTTTTCATTTTTTGATTAGAGGATGAGTAATGAGTATCCACTTTTAGTCAGATTTGATTAAGTATAGATTGAAAGAAACTAAATATTTGTTATTTATAATAACCAAAATTAATATGAGTTTCCCAGAAACAAATATCATCTATTCCAGAACACCGAACCGCGAAGTTTAACTTTATTCAACGATGGTAAAAAACCTTAGAACCTTGATTTAGATATCATGCTACGGTCAGAATCTTGACAAAGTTGACAGGAAGTGGCATCTAAAAACTAGTCAATAGCAATATGACGAAATAACAACAAAAGTTATTTGGTTGTATTTGTCGCTTTGACCAACTTAAAATTCGGTAATATTTAATTTTTTTATTAGCTTATACTTAGTTTTTTTTTGATTGATAGTCTAGTCTTGATAGAGTATTCCCTTGGAATAATAACGTTATTATTCTAAGGAGTAGTCCCATATGAATTTCAAAATATTTTTGAATTTGAAGTAAGTGAATGTATCTCTTCAAATAAAAAGTAGTTATGGCTCTTCTACTGTTTTCTGTAGTTTTCTGTCCTGTGTTCAAAATTTGACAAATAATATTCCAGGGATCTCACTTTCTACTTCTAACTTTAGTACGCCAAGTACAATGTGACTATGCTATTAACGTCAATAGTTTTAGGAATTTCATAGCAAATTGTAAGTCATTCAATACAAAACACTGCAATAAATATGAATAACAAATACATATTTTATTATGACTCAAATGTTATTTACCGTTTGTTTGGTTTATTTATCTTAGTCTACTCACCATGTAACTGTATCGGATATTATTACTATGTCGAATTTGATGCAGTTTTGTATATTTTATTTGAAATTTTGATAATTTATTACCGTCAAGTATTTACGGAGATTTTTGTTGTCGTGTAGTCGTCGTGGCGAGGTTTTTTAAGAAAATTAATTACGGTTATAAGATGGATTAGACGTGTGTAAATCCATGTGTCGATAACGATAATATAAAATATAAATATGACCCAGTGGTGTATCTAGCCCCAATGCAAAAAATGGAAGTGCCCTTTGCCTATGAAATAATATGCGAAAAAGGACACGTTTTTCTTGCGTTTTTTTAAACTTCTATGAGAATAATAAGAAAATGTTTGAAATAAATGAACCGTTTGTGGCTTGCTAGTGTCCCCTTGAATCAGGGGCCCCATACAACCGCATTGACATAGCTACGCCACTGGCATGACCTAGTCAGTAATATGATGCAACTATCTTGCTTATTTTTTAATATGCAAACCAATTAGATAGTTTATTAGTCTTAAAAACATGAACTTAATAAATTTTTTTGTTGCATCACTATATATTATACATGTTTTATTATTTAGTTTATATAGCATGAATACATGCGAAAATTTGTGTAAATTCTTCAAGCTGTAACAGCAAGTTTTTTTTTATGAACGTACCTATTCTGTATGTACCTACGAGTAATTGAAGCCACGAGCCAAATGTTAAAAGTAGGTAATTAGCTGTGATTAACAAATATTTTCTTAGATTTACGCGAATCTTTGAACGTTTTTAAATAAACCTTTTAAATATATTTGTTACTTTCGATGTTTTGAATGCTTTGCAGAAAACATGGTCACCGCAGAAAGTGAGGATTGTTACGTCAAAAATTCATTTAAAATATGAATAATTATTAAATAGTATTGATATTTTGATTTTTTTTAATGTTTATATTGGTTTTATAATGTGGTGGCAATATTTTTCGATCTAACTGAACTACGTAGGTTCGGTGAATCTTATCACAAGGCTTCAGTAAGGTCGTCACGAGTGCGATCAGAATGGTGAAAGGGATTGTCTGGCCTCGCCATCCACGCCGCTTTTGTATTCAACAGTTCTGTACCTTTGTCGACTACTTGGGCCCCAGCCTGACTTCACACGCGTGTATTGTTAAAATAATTGCCCCAAATGTTATGACGTACTATAATATTAATATTTTGTTATATTCTCCTTGTTTTTGGTAAATTTGTTTATCAAAATAAAGAAAAAAATCTGTATCTTTTCACTTCGTATAAATACAAAAAATATTTTTAATTTGTATAATTGTATTAAAAATAACGATCAGGAAAAGTAATAGGTATTGGTTACAGATTTTCGATGTGTATACAAATTCCAACCTATTCATGTCGTTTGAAATTTTGATATCTCACTTAGTATCGGTCGGACGAATTTCTAAAAAAGATAAATCTAGATGGAATATGTGCTAGAAAATATTACCGAAAGTAATAACAACTAGATCACGCTATAGGTTTGCGGGGGTTATAATATTTATTCTTTACAATATTTATTATAGAGTGAGTGAGTGAACATAAAAATTGATGTTTTTTTATGTATAAGTACTACAAATGCTGGACAGATTTTAATGTATGTATAACATACATGTAATGATTATTGTAATGTATATATTAAATACATACATTAAAATCTTAAGACTAAGGAATAATATAGACAGTTTAAATAAAACTACATATCTTTACGGATTTTTTCGCAGATTTACCATATAAATATTTATACCCACAAAATAATATTGTGTGTAGGCACTGTCTGTAGTAAGTATAAAACCTTAGTCTCTCCCGTGACCGTGATTGCTGTAAAGCATTCCAAACGTCGGAAAACAAAAATCAAAGTCAAAGAAAATCCTAAAAGATAGTATTATTTAAAATGTCAAATATTCGTGTAAATCTAAAAAAGTATTAACATAAATAGTGACATAGAACTATACATGAAGCCAAACAATATTGTTTTAAATTATATTGGCTCAAAACACTATACAAATATTTACAGAATACACAAAACTGTTACAATTAAATGTTCAGAAATAAAAATAACCTAACGGATTTTATTTAAATAAAGAAAAAAAACATAAATGAGTTAAATTATGCTATCTCTCTTTCAAGCGGAAGAGAGGGGAAGAGGAAGAGAACAAATGTTTAAAAAGTGCATAATGCTTAAAAAAAGTATGCAAATTAACGACTAATATAAAATTTCCCTTATTCTTTGAAGAAAGAAAACGATTTGTATTTGATTTGCAAAATCGACAATAGTAGAAATTATTTAAACATTATTTACTTAGAAGTAACTTAAAAAAGTGACCAGTAAGTAGGTGCTTGAGTTATTTTTACTTTTTATAAAAACTGGCATTAAGCTTATTGATTTAAAAAAAAAAAACTTTAAATACACATGTAAAAGCCATTTTATCGCGGATTTATTATGATTTTCGGTGCCCGACGCGGTTTCAAATGACAAAAGTTTTATTTAAATGTTCATTGCCCTTAAAAACATTTTAAAAAAATATCCAACATCAACTTTTTATGACACACAATTATCTGACCGAATGATTCAATTAAAGATTTTAGATAGTTTTTGAGATTTAGTGACTAATTAATCGGTAATTTAAGAGGTATTTAGCTTTTATATGTATATAGATTACGAATACAATGTCAGTTATTTTGACCAAACAAATACACAAACCAAAATTATTATTATGTAAGAGACCGGTACGGCTTCTTCAATGATCACCACCGCCAACCGTATCATATTACTGTCACGGCTAACGCAAATATTTGGTCACTTGTTTTTTATCTATTGTACCTACATACCTTTATGCATTCTAGATTAAGCATCTATATAAGTTTTATTACGAAAATATTTCTTAGAAATTTTATTTAATTGTATACTAATATCATTTAACAGAATTGGCATTAGTAAAATATTATTTAACCTATTTTTAAGTTTAATAGAACGTTTAAAAGTATATTAGTGAAAATAATATACCCAAAAATAAGTTAAGTATACAAATAAGCAATAACAAAAATATATAATTTTATATTTATAGACTTAATTTATTTTATTTATATGTGACCACGAAAACAACAAATTTTATAATTTGTCAAAATATATAGTATAAACTTAGATTATTAATATGTATGTCTAAATAATCTAAAAGTATAAAATATCTTAATCGAGTTCCGCCTTATTGAATTTTTTCAAAAACATTAAATTACAAGGTAAGTGATAGACAAGGATAGTTAAGGTTATTTTAGAAGTTGCATGTTATCTTTATATCATAATTCATTCAATATTTAAGAATAAACGTTCTTATTTTACTCTTCTTGTAGAATTTACACTTTTGTCTATACTCTATAATACTGTCGTACTCTATGATAGCGTACGTCCTTCCTGTTCTGTGGCCAGCCATCTGTGCCTAGATTGGTGTTTACAATTATTTCTAAATTGGAATATTATTTTGAACGTGTTAATGTACTTATATCTTGTATTGGATTGTAGAATGTAGATTCAAGGGAGTTTCAAGAAACTTGTCACAAACTACATTCTTTATAACGAATTTATTTCATTCATTTTTTATTTGCCTATGAAATGTTAAAGGATTCTTCACGATTTCATTCTATTTCGATTTTTTCCCCTTTTTCATAGAAGAGTTTTTACTTTTTAGTAACTTAATATAATATAAATAAATATTTTGTAACCGGAAGATTGGACACCTGATCTAAATTAGGTAAAAAATCCTACTAATATTATAAATGCGAAAATTTGTGAGAATATCTGGATATATAGATGTTTGGATGTTTGTTACTCTTTCATGCAAAAACTACTGAATGGATTTTAATGAAACTTTACAATAATATAGCTCATACATCAGAATAACACACAGGCTACTTTTTATCTTTTTAAATGTATGGTTCCCGTGGGATAGATTTGTTTTTGTTTTGGGTGAGCTGCTAATCTATACCTACTAGGTAATATTGTAAAGAGGTAAAGTTTGTGAGATTGTGACGTTGTAGGGGGTAATTTCTGGATCTACTGAACGGATTTAAATGAAAATTGGTAAGAAGATAGTTTGAGACCTTGGGAAGGATATAGGATACTTTTTATCCTGGAAATCATCCCTTAAGGGATTGAAAATGGGGATGAAAGTTTGTATGGGCAATCAATTTAGGGACGAACCCGAGCAAAGCGAGGGTGAGTCGTTAATATAACATACATATCATCGTAAGTAATCTAAATGAAGAAATATTCACATTAGTTGTGACTTTTATTTTTCAGTCAGACTTCCGTTTCTAAAAATAATAATTAAAATTTTAGATGTTACAAAACGACAAACACTATGTCTCTTTTAGCATACATATGTTTTATTCACATATTGTTTAATTTAACATCGGCCCGGTGATTGTCCCGTTACATGTTTCATTTACATCCATTTCAATAAAATTGACTAAAGAATATAAATTGAGTCGTTGAAATCGTGTGTATTTAAAACATTCTTTCATCATCATCATCACTAACATATGTGTCGTATGTATTAATTACATCTTCATCATTTGATGAATGAAGATAATATGAACATAAATATTTTTTTGGTATCTATTGATACGCATTATTTTTCTGTGCGTATGTCTATGATTTAAACTACTGGATAGATGTCAATGTGTATATTTTTGTACAGTTTCTTTTGTGATCGTAAAATATGAATAAGTATCATTTTGATCCTTTTTGGGGATTTAAAAATACCCCTTTAGCTTCTCACAAGAACAGTTGAATGGTTGCGAGCTACACTTATAAAAATATACGGCTTTGGAATGTCGCAAAATAAAGAGTTCACAAAATATAAAATTATAAATATCTATTTACCTAGTCTTCAACGGTGTACCAAAAAGTCGAACACGTGTGTATATTGGACTTGAATTTTTCTTAAAGCGGCTCGAGAATTTTGAAATCCACTTACCTTGTAACTAGGACGAATTGTAAGAAAAGTCTTAAAACTTAAATTCGTTAATAACAAAGTATAATAAGGCAGAGCTTCTACTCGAAACGTGATTTTAGATGAGAAGGTAACTTTGTAAAATATCATCAAGTTAATCAGAAAAGGGTACATGAATCAGTGAGCTTTCGCGTTTCGCACGATACGCTGTCGTTATCTCGACATCCGGTGGGTGAATTCCCCCTTCATGGTGTTTCCACTTCGCCTCTTGTCGTTAAATGTTTTATATCGATTGTCACTCTAGTGCAAAAAATAGAAAAAATGCAGATCTAATATAAAGTTGTTGATGTCACAATTTCATGCCCCTCTCACTGCAACAATGAGTTGAATTGTGCTTTAGCAAGCATCGGTTTGATGTGTATGATTGTAGGTAGTATCGTATCGGTGGAAATTGAACGAATTTTACGAGAGCGAGAATTCCGAAAATAGAATCTAGACATGATGCTAGGTTGGATCGTAACCTGCAAAACCGGCAGGTGTGGTTGTGGTGCGCCGGGGGGTGTTTGTCCGGGGGGCGGCCGGGCTGCACGCTGCACCGCGCCAAGGTCAGGCATCGCACGCATGCGCTCCCCACCCCCCGCCGCCCTCGCCAACTACTCCCCTCCCTCCCTCCGCCCGACCGACATTATCGGTACCTGCACCCACTTATTCATGTGTTCCTGTGACTTGCACTCCGAATTACACTCGTTCCCTCCTTTTTCTTAACAATGGCTTATGAGCTTACGTGATGGGTAAACATTCAAATTGGAACATTTTGTATTGGTGATACCTTCTCTTCTTTTTCAATTATCGATTTATTATACTGCCAGGGTTATAATATCAATTGATTCGCATTTACTATAAAAAACACTTTCTGCTTCCGCCAATAGGGTTTTATGTTCAGGATGTTCTGTTACCGTTTGATTGCTTTCAGTGTTATATTAAATACAAAGCTACCTAGTTGAGATATGATTCAACAACAAAAATGTGTGGCATATTAAACTGTGTATTTAGGCGTAGGACGCAAAAATAGTACGTATGTATTCATGTGGAACGGTATTAAATAAATCCTATTAGTCAGATTAAGTCTTAAGATCTATTAGTAAAATTAGTTTATTCGTATGTCGTGTTGAAAGATAACACATTACAGTGTAATTTCGTGTGATTGCTAATGTAAAACGGTATTGTCCACAAGGCTAAATACGCGTTGCAAATAGTAGCACCGGGGCGTCATCTAACCGTCTTTTATTAGAAAGTTAGACGACATCGTGCATAAGGAGCGAGACGCGGGCCACGGCGGACTTGTACGTTCGCACCGTCGCCAACACTGCCCGATTCGGTTGCAATGTTCCATTCACCTTATTCGCCGCCGACGAGGTTCAGTGACTCCGCCGGTGACCGACTAACTCCTCGGACGCGTCATCGCGCTAACGCCGCCGTTTCATCACCGAAGGCCTATCGCCGCTCTTTGAATTCTGTAGGTGTATCGCGTCGCTGCGACCTCGTTCCGAGGCGAGTGCGTCTCGTCGCGTGTCGCCCTCGCGCTTTGCAGCGTTATGTAAAGTGCTGAGACTGTGCAGCGCGAGCGTTGCGCTCGACCGCGTGCGCGTCCCCCCGCACCTCGCCATTCCGTCCGGCGGCAGGCGCGCGGCGGGCGGGCGGCGGCGCGGGGAGGGTGAGGCGCGGAGGTCGCGCGCCTCCCGCCTCCGCCCTCCGAGACGCGTCGCGCTCTGGCACTCCGCGACCGGCTCAGTCGTCGAGCGGAGTTCGTCGGCACCGGTTGGCTTCGAGCCCCGGTCCGATACAGTGACGTATCGTACGACTCCGGCCACCAGCGCCGCCAGTACTGCGATCGCACGGTGCTGCCATTTCGGGAGTTCGCGGTTCCGCGGGTGCGTTCGACGGTCACGAACGCGGCCGGCGGCTGCGGACGGAAATAGCGTTCGTTATCATCGCGACCTCGCGGCGAGACAAGATAGCGCGAGGTCGGCGGCACCTGCGCCGCCCCACGTGCGCTCCGCTGCAGCCGACAATTAGCGAGTGGCGACCACTGGCCCCCGCGTCCACGCCCTCGCCCCTCCGGCTTGCCAGGCCTGCCTCCTCTTGTATTGTCTGGACTTTGCACATTCCAGAACAAATCTAAACCGTTTCCACCATCGGCAGCTCTTAATTGGTACTTAGAATTTAGATATTTTATTCAGGTAATTCGAGGTATCCAATTATTGAGACAGAATAGCCCATCTCCTTTGTCTTTGACGAATTATCGCGTACCATGTCGAACAATTCTTACGAGTTTTGCCATCCATACATTTCGGTACGCTAAACGTTAAACAGGTACAATTAAAAAGTAGCACCTTTAAAAATTTATCGCTTTTCTTGTCAGTAATTCTTAGGCTACTGCATTCTATTGTTTTTATAAGATACTAAAATACAGATGTTATCTTAATTCAACACTTATTCAAAATCGTCATTATCAGTAGTGACTTTGTTCACGTTTTTTTGATAGTCGTCTTACGCTGATACCGGTCAGCTGTTTTGAATCTCATTAGAATATTAGAGTTATGGTAAATTGATACGCTTTATGAATTTGTATATGATATTTATGGAATATTTACATTGAGTTTGAAAAAAATTAACAGTAATTATTTTGCCTTTGACTAGGGTTTTGTTGGAATAACAAGCTCTCGTTATCGCATCGCATTTGTAAACATCAGCGAATTATGTATAAATTATTTTTTTTACTTAAAATATTTCTAACTAGTTTTAGCTTATAAGCTTCTTGTATTTTTACTCAGAAACATTAAGTTTGAACATCATGCTTATACACGATTATAAGTCATAATGTATTTCTGTGCGTAATATATATCTTGCAAATCCGGACCAAATCTCATATCGGGGTCATCTATACGTTGCTAGTTAAGTACACAAGGGGTTCCAAATTCTTTCTGTACAGAACTATTGTTTGAGTTTTAGGTTATTTACATTGTAGCGTTAGGGATTTCTTATATGTAGATTTTAAGGAAAAGAAAATCGCATATTTCTAAAGGAATATAGCGTGAAATTATTTAGTTACTAGAGTACTGGTGTAAGGGTCTTTTTTGTCACTCCGGTCAATAAATTATGCAAAATCACGTCGATCCGACGCTTCGTTGTTGTATTTACCTACTTCAAATACGAAGTTAAAAATCAATCGCATTTATAATTTTAGTTAGGACCGACCTCAATGTGTATCTTACGAAATTGAAATGTCTCTGCTAATTAAGAACCGATTTTGATCGTTCTTTTTTAATAAATATCTCAAAGGTGGTCCCATATATATGTATTTCAAAAAAAAAACACATTTTAAGAAAAAAAAATCATAAACAATCTGTTTACTTTTATTAAAAAAGTAGTTATATATTTTAAAATAAAACTATCTTTGCGGATTTTTCGCAGATTTAGATTCTTGATTCCTGATGCTTTACAGTTTACGGCAATCATTGTTCACGGGAGAGAATAAGATTTTAGATGTCTCCAAGAAAATTTTATTGTGTTTACAGACAGATTATAAATATATAGGCGATACATTACATTAATTTAAACGAAATTCTTATTCAGGTTAAAGATGAACGCGAGGATCAATTGATGCCGCATAACTATACCGCTGTTTTGTTTCAGCATAAGATCTAATGTAATCGTTCATTATATTTTGTTATAGATATTGCACATACACACTTACAAAAGTGAAACGTTTACGCAATTTTATGTTTTATTTATTCTAGTAATCAATTGGAATTTTATTAATTTTTCTTGTAATTTTAGAAATTTTTATGTCATATTTGTTACATGCTTTATGTAATCATAATATATGTATCTGGTTCGTTTACGAATATTTTGTGTACAGTTCTAGTTCCGATAATTATACGATAATTTCGTATTATCGTCGGACGAACGAGATGTAGCACGAAGAATTGTGTGATGGTCACCCGACGTAATCGCCTAGAGGCGCCTTTTTATTTTGATATGTTTTTATTTATGGTAATCTACATGTGTTTTTTATCTTTTATAAGTGGCAATGTTGTGTAGCTAGTATTTATAAGAATTTATTAATATTTATTTTATTAATATAATACTTTCTTAGATTTACGCGAATATTTGATATTTTAAATAATTTAATTAATAAAATTATTAAAAAAATATATAAAATTAATAAAAAAAATAATAATTATTAATATATTATTATTATCTTTTCGGATTTTTTTGTTGTAAGTTATTGCTACTTTTATTAAAGGTAGCAATAGTGTTGCCTAATATTTTAACTTCAAATAATAGCAATCTTAATTAATATTTTAATTTCTTTTAAATTATATATAAAACAATAATATAGCTTAGATAATAATTAATATTTTTAATTTTTAATATTCTTATGGTTATTCATAATATAATAATAGCAACACTAAATAATATTAGAAATTAATAAAGTTTTTGAAAAATTGTAATATTTATAATAAAAAAAGCTTTAATTAAATAAATAATATTGCTATATTTAATTATAATGCTTATTAAAAAAATTAAAATGCTTAGAAATAAAAATCAACAAATATTGTAAGGTACTTACTTTATTGCCATTTTTTGGAATCATTTTTGTAAAATAGTGGGTAGGCACTGTCTGTAACACGTATGTGTTTGAGACGTCTATAACGTTAGTCTCTCCCGTAGCCATGATTGCTGTAAAGCATTCGAAACGTCGGGAATCAAAAATCTAAAAAAAAACAAAAAACGAAATAATCCGAAAAGATAGTTTTATTTAAAATTATTAATGTAACATAAACATTACCTATTACATAGTGTATTTACATATATAATACAAATAGGGTAACTTTGAATTCAGTAGTCCAATTATTAAACTTTAAAATTGGGAGATTACTTATAATCTAAAGTAATTTAAAAATTAAAATATTTTGTATAAACATCAATTAAATGATCCAATGTAAGATATCTTGAGTGTTTTTAATAAAACTATCTTTTCGGATTATTTCGCGGATTTATTTTAATTTTTGGTTCCCGACGTTTCGAATGCTTCACAGCAATCATAGTCACAGGAGAGCATTCGAAACGTCGGGAACCAAAAATTATAAATAAATCCGCGAAATAATCCGAAAAGATAGTTTTATTTAAAATGTCTAAATTCGCGTAAATCTAAGAAAGTATTATATCTAGAGTGATTGAAAATGAAATAATCTAAATATTGTATAAAAATCAGTTGCCGTTCGTTAGTATCGCTGAAACTCAAAAACGGATGGACCGATTTGATTAATTTTTTGGGGGTGTGTTAGGGGTGGTTTAAGTATAAAAAAACAGGGGAAACCCAAAAAAAAAAACAGCTGGAAAATCGAAAAATTCAGAACTGTTTATTTTATATCAATGTATATATAATACATAGTGTATTTATTTCATACTAACCGTTAAAATGTACCTAGTGAATGAGTCGCTAGTTATAAATAAAAAGAGCGACGCGTAAGTAGATCTTTAGACGCGCTTCTACTTAAAGATTTTTTAACTTTTTTACAGTAAAAACAAACATTACCATAGTAAAGGTTCTAGGTATACTTATTATATAATAGCAAATAAGATGCACTTATAGAATAGTCTAGTGTCACAAACAAACACGGTAGAAAACATCTACAACGATACGATAATTTTTCTAATTATTGCCATTAGAAAAGCTAATTAATGTATTTAAACAGATGTTATGTTATTTTTTATTTAAATAAATAGACGAGATTGTATATAATAATAATATATTACACAATATTATTTTTATATATGATATATTACCTATGTTCTATCTTAGGTCATAGTCTGTCTGTATACTAAGTTTTATCCTAATCCGTCCAGCTGTTTCGCCGTGAAGGAGTAACAAACACGCGCACATACAAGCTTTTGCGATTATAATAGCAGCACGATAAAAATACCTTACATTTCTCAGGGTTTTTTTTAATATAACATTAAAACCCAAATAAATAGTTGTAGACATTATCCTCTACAAATAATCAGAACCTGTAGCACTAGCGGCTTACCCTCGCTTCGCTCAGGTTCGTCCCTAGGATGGAATAGATATACATACTATATGTTATATTACTCCGTTCCCTTGGGTAGTAGCATGATGATATATAGCCTATACGTTCCCTTAAATAAGCGAGCTATCTAGTGCAAAAATAATTATTTCGAAATTTTTATTAGTAGTTCCTGAGATTAGCGCGTTCAAATAGACATATAGCATTTTAGTACATATGTATGTAAGTTATCGCTATACTCCTTAACAATTTTGAAATTCAATAAGAACATGTTTAGTTCAGAGTGTAAAATGTGAGTACATATGCATGAAGGTCAAAGATTGTACAGCATTGTTCCTTGATAGCGTTATGTTATTAGTCAGATACTTTCAATACATGTTTTTCTTGTTCAAACGTTCTTGGCTCCGTGTATCTTGAGTTAAATATCAAATTTATAGGATTTTTTAATATTTTCTCATTTTTATATATAACTAGCATTGCCCGCGGCTCCGTCCGCGTTTAGATGACCAAAAACCAAATTCTTAGGTTTTACAAATTAGTATACTGTTACATTGCAGTTTTTGTATTTTTTCTCAAAAATGAGACATTTTCCCGCGGTAAGAAGTGTCCTATATGTTGTGATCCGGATAACCAGCTATCACCATACCAAATTTCATCAAAATCCCTCCAGTGGTTTTTCTGTGATGCGGTAGCAGACAGACAGATAGACAAAAATTCTAAAAACTATAGATTCAGCCTCTGAATCGATAAATCGATTCCAAAAAATATTTAATGTGCAGATTCGGCTTAGTTAAAATTTAATATATGTATAGATAGTCTTTTTTCTCTATAAAGACGGGCGTAGAGCCACATGTAGGTTATTTTTTATCCGTACATATCGAGTGCATGTGGGATAATAAATCAAGTATGTATTTGCAAAAATCTAGTAGGTATAACTAAAGAACGTACGAGAGGCCAAACTGGTTCTCTATCATATAT